GTTAATATACTGCATCTGTGCCAGCGCGTGATGTAATAAAACTGGAGCTCGTTAATAAAAGTTTTTTTTTTTTAAATAAATTTTATACAATCCGACTTCAGTTAGCAAGTGCACTCGTGCATAAACAATTTTCAAGTTCAACACTTTTTGTTTCGTTCAGTTGCGGATGCTGCTGATTCACCGAGACCGCCGCGGCTCAGCAAAGAGACATGCGTGTGTGTGTGTGTGTTTTCCTTTGAAAAAGTTTCCCCAGAAATACCTCGCTATTTAATGCATTTTTCCTTACAAATTGTATTATCAGCATAACAATTCGAGTAAATGTGTAACAGGTATGGCATGAATTTGCCATCCTTCTAGAACAATGTGCATTTATGTTAAAATTGTAACATAAATTATCAAGTTTAGTTTATTTTTATTTCTTTAATGCAAAACGCTAAAACTGGCACCGTTTTGGAGAGAAATGGGCTCTCATTTTAACCCATATCATGGTGTGTGATGCTGAACTATGAGTTTCCAATGGTTTTTTTTATGTGCAACAACAGCATATGCTGTCTCAGTGGCCTTACACATGATTTTAAATCAATTTTTTTCAAACTTTATGATTTAAATGGGGATGATTGTACTGAGAATAACTTTCATATTTTCTTCAACTGAATATTGTTTCCGTGCTGTTTTGATGTATTTTAAAGAGTTGGCAGTCACAATTAAAACTGCTGGATGATAGATATTCTTCATTCTTTATGAGAAACAAGATAATGTCAATTACAGAATGTACAATGTTTAAAAAAAGTATAAATTGCGGTGTACAGCGTTTATTATGAGGGGGTAGAATCCACAGCTCAGTACTCACTACTCATGAGTACTTTTAAATAGGCTCCCCTTTTACTCTTACTCAAGTAGTTTTACTCTACTCACACTACATTCTTTGGAAGGTAATGGTACTTTTACTTAAGTATATTTTTTCAGTACTCTTTCCACCACTGCTTACCATAAAATGCATACAAATTAAAAGCCTCGCGTCTGTCCTGTTTGTGGAAGGAAAACACAAAAAAAGCTTTTAAAAGCAAGTAAAACTTGTGTGCTGTGTAGTGATGGATATTGTTAAGGTTTCAAATGAATTACTGCTCTTACTGATACTGCTGATCCATCTGGCATTTTAACAGTAATCTTATCAGTTCTTTTTGTTATTTAAAAACAAAAAACAATCATGAAATCACATTCAATTACATTTTGAAATTTCTCATTCCCGTTGGCTCAATTCTCAGAATGTGAAGTTTGTTTTCTTTCCCTCTCAATACTATAAAACTATAAAATAAATGTTCATCTCTCTAAATGATTACTTTCTTGTTCACACCAGGTTTGAATTTATTCATTTAAGCAAATTGTGTCTGTTTTGGCATGTGCAAAAGAGTAAGTATATATGTCTCTTCTTGAAAGAAATGTAAACAGAAAATTCACTTTTGTCTGTTACACATGTAACACACTGCTACTCAAATAAATGTATTTTATGAATTCAAATGTGCATATTCAATGCTCTACGGACACCTTGGCAATAGAATCGCTATTGGCTAGTAATTTCTTTTAGTTTACTCGCCAGAATGATATACTATTAAATAAAGTTCTCTCTCTCTCTCTCTCTCTATATATACATACACGCACACACAATTTTAATTCTAATTACTAAAGTTCTATAATGAAATAATACTTGACTGTTCTAAGTGTTCTTTCAGATATTTAAAAAGCTGTGCCTTTTTACAAACATTTTGAGATCTATCACTTCTGCTGTGGCTTTATGGGTAATATTTTTGCTGGCAAAATTGAGCAAAAATATTACCTATAAAGCCACAGCAGAACTGTTGTGCGTCTCCGAGCAACATAACAGTGTTTAGTTTCTGAAAGAATCCACATTTTGAACGAATTGTGTGAATCAATGATTCAAAGCCCCATTCATGAAGAGAGAGAGAGAGCCTTTTACTTCATTCCTGAATGTGAGTGTATGTATGTGTGTGTGTATGTATATATATATAGTGCTGGACAATGATTACATTTTTAATCTTGATTAATCACATGATTTTTCTGCGATTAATCACATTGTTATGCAGAAACTTCAATAATAAATTCAAAAGTAGTGTTTGTGCACTTTTTCATTTAAAAGTTTATTTTAAATGTAAATGTAAAAGTACTGCTATATGAACAAAAGTGCAATAGCATTTGGTTTGCAAACACTTTAAACAAATAATGTGCGTTTTTTTACAGCAGTATTAATTTTACATAGTAGCAGTTAAAATATTTCTTGTAAATCTAAACTTAAACATTAATGTAATCAAAATAAATATAAAACTAAAGCTGTTTGCCACTGCCAGGGCATTAATGTTTTATAGAAAATATTTTATAGTTTGTTATAGAAAAACAAGTTATGCTCAGGGTTGAGAGCCTCGATCATAACATTATAACAGGCACCTTCTGAGTAGAGACCTGCACTATCGCAGGACCCATGGCACCCAATGCAACAGAGTGTGGCACGGGACAACACTTGATGGGCAAGTGTGGGTGCGGGGGGGTAGAGACTCATGTGTGCGGGATGCGGGAGAATAAGGGTGTACTCACACAAGGCGTTTTGAACCGTGCCCGAGTGCGTTTGACCCCTAAAGCCCAGTTAATTTGACTAGTGTGATCGCTCGGTGCCGCACTCAGGCACAGTTCGTTTAGCCGTCCCTGGCTCGATTGGAAGAGATGGGCCACAGCACTGTTCAGTTGGGTTCGGGAACGGTACGCATGTAGTGTGAGCTAATGAGCTTATGAGCGCTAACCGCGCCGGAGCTCAGAACTTCTGATATGTGTAGCAGGATTGCATTAACATTTCTGAGTGGCAAAAGTGATCTATAAAGCAATATATTGTGAGAGAGCTGTGTGTTAGCGCGTCCCAAATGACTCAAACTAATAAACCACAAAGTTAACAAAACAAACGATGGACTCCACTGTGCTGAGCTAGATTACTGTGCTGCCTTCAACGAAAACTTCCTATTTCCTACTTATGAAGTCGTAAATATGAGCATGTTGCATTCTATTCTGTTAAAAATAACAGTGAACAGTGGTTTGTGAATGTTGATGCTTAGATTAAATAATTTTATGGGAAGCATTCATGTGAGTGCTGCTGCAGTCTTAGGCCCACCCCATATGCTCTCATTGGTTGAGACGCATGATGACACCCACCCCAAGCCAGTAGCTACTGATCAACATCCCAACATCTGTGAATTCATAGCCAGTGAGCAACAGGCTTTCAAAATAATAATGAAAAAACTGTGTTAATGCGCGA